AATTTATTGGGACGGCATTGGCTAGTAAGATCATATAGGTTTCAAGCGTACATTTCTATGATACCAGATCTATATGTCGCATTGTGTGCCCACCACCCGAAGTCAAACATTCTGAATTTACTTGGGGGTGGGGGTATTCCTGTCAATTTCTCCTATTATATTTGCAAACTAAATCTCACTTCTCTTCACTCCAGGCTCAGTTTGATTTTTCTGTGAATTCCTGTTTCCACTGAGATTTCAGATGTTTATCGCTTTAAGCACTAAGTAGAGCCCAGTATCAGGTGATCGGGAATAAAATGCTGCGTTGGCACCGAAGAAAGAACAGGCAGCAAAACAAAGGAGAGGGGGACTCTGCTTCTGTTGCTCTCATGCCCCCCAACTGTTGGTTTTATAGAAGATACAGAAGTTTTATATTTGACATACACTGATTTATTTCTTGAAAGCCACATAAAGCTTTTTGAATTTAAAGGTAGTATTTGCTCTCAAAGACTCTAAGGACATTAATTTTCACATATTATGTTTTACGCTCCTCTACCAAGATTTAGCTGGAACCAGACACGGGTGGTCCCTGACCTCCCAGAGCAAGGGCAACTTGTCCCTAGGGGTAAAGATTTTTTTTTTATAGCAAATTGTCATTTTCAGTTTTCAGGAGACTATGCAAGGGGATGTCCAACCATGCAGAGGAGCACTCAGAGAAGTAGGTAGGAAGTTAGTGTCTGGTATGACACGTGAACACCTGTCGGAATCGGTAGGTGAGGTGGAGAGGGAGAGTGTCCCACGAAAGGGAGCGGGACTCCAGGCCCAGGAGGCGAATGAAGCATATACAGCGCTGAGGAACTGAACGGCTGGGATGACCAACGTGGAGAGCGAGTGCACGGGCAGAACGGGAGAGAACAGGGCTAGAGAATTAGGCAGAATCCATGTCGTCAAGACACACCGGAAAACCTACTTGAGTTTAATTTGAAAGGAAAATCACTTCAATGCAGGTGTAGTATGATTGGATTTGCATTTGGAACGATGACTCTAGATAGCCTGTGTGGTGGAGAGGAAATGACTTCTGGTAAGAGGGAGTGGTTAGGGGCCGGCCCGCTGGGACATGACAGACAGCGGTTGGTTCTGCACAGAGTGGAAGGTGCAGAGAAGGTTTGAGAGACTGCTGAAGGGAGCAGGGAGGGTGTGACTGCATGGGAGTGAAGTTCAGGGAAGAACCAAGAGGACTCTCCGGCTTCTTTCTACATCAGTTAGGTTCTCTTTACTGAATTAAACTTATTGAGGTATCCGGGCAGTTTCTCTCATTGTGTGTACCCAACAAAAGACATCACGTGTGGGGAACGAGTCTCAGTCTTTGAACACAGCAGTTGGGTTTGAAATTGTTGCCTCCAATGTGTGCCTCTGGCAGATGAATTTGAGCTGAGCAATCTGTTTCCAATAAACTGCGTATCAAGGCCTAACCCCTTCTCGCTGCGGTTGGAAGGACCACACGGGCAAGAGCAGCGTGGGGCCTGTCGGGCGCCATCCACACTGCTGCACTCATCTGTTACGTGTTTCTGCTCCCACGAAAATGCGAGCTTCTTGACAACGGAGGGAACCAGCCCTGTCTCCCCAACACCTGACCAAGTGCCAGCACACAGTGGGGACTCACGAAATATTTGTTGAATGTGCAAACATGACTATTACCATGTAGACATTTTGTTTTCCCTTTGGAAACTAATTTGGCATGAACACGGTAAAAACAATAACCCAAGTGTTGTTACATGGGACCTCGAGTTTTGAATGCTACTGCTACTCCTGTTCAACGTGAAGCCTCAGAGTGTTTGTGTTGATAGAAAGACTCTTTGTGAACTTCACTAGATGGCACCAAACCATTGCCCTGAGACAGAACTAGCAAGAGGCAGGGGGTAGAGGATGGAAGGCTGGAGGCCTGATTATAATCGACGTTAAATGTCTATCGGTGATCTCAGGGGGCTGCGAGAGCTTTAACTGTGCGTTTTCAGTTAAATTCTCACATGCATATAATAATATTGTGCATGTCTGGGAATATGGTGTGATTTAATTAAGCACAGGGGACTTGATTCTATTCAGTCTCTCGTAGTAGGAAATTAAGCATTCAGGAAAGAGCATTACTGTACCTCATTCAGGCCACTAGGGTACATTGCTGTTGAAGCATTTTTCCTAATTTCTATTTGTACCAAAACTTGAATTCTCTCGTAGAAATAAGCTGAATGGTGCTCTCACGGTCTCGATGCCTTGCGATTCCTTCAGCACCTTCTTCACTATCTGGGAGTAACTGAGGCCTTGCAGGCGAGGAGTCTGTTTGTTTTGTTAGTTATCTTAAAATTCATGTGACATTTTCCCTAAAAGCAAATCCACTGAAAAGGTGGGTGGAAATACATTCATCATGGTTGCAATTTTCTTTTCTTTTCCCAACCCATTTCTACCACCTGCTGATTGGTTGTGTGTGTGTTGAGAGGCTTTGGTGGAGAGGGAAGGGATGCTGTTGATGAACGAGGCTTGCTCCTGCGACTCTCTTGTTGATGCTAAAATTATCCAACATCCCCTCCAGAGCTGAGCAGCACAGCAACTGGACTCTAGACCCTCTGGCACGGACCCTCTGTTATACTCTTCCCCACATTTTTGTTAATGGTCCTGATGTTGATTAACATTGATTTTCTGAGTCCATGTGTTCTGACAGTTTGATATTTGGGCACTTGCCTATGAGATAATGCTAGGCACGGAGTTAAAATGTTCACAGAGATGATTTGGGAATCTATACCAATTCCCAGGGAGTGTAAATATTAAGTAAAGTGTTAATCATACTATCAAACTATGACTCTGACACAGGGGCGGTAGGCAGTGGGGTGGAGGGCGTAAAGGGGGAGACAGCTAGAGTACTTTCAACAATAAAGATACATTTTAAAAATTATGTTTCTGTTTTCTTATCAGCTACCTCCTTTCAAATTGGAGTGATTCTTTTTTTAAGGAAAAATAGGAAGATTCATTTATTTGTTTTTTCAGGGACCATGTGGCTGGCTTTATACTTACGGTATTAGGGCTGTTTGTCTCTACCTGGACACGTCTGTACACTGTGCGAGGTCAGAGGCTCTCAGTAAGTGGTCTGAATTAACTGACATAAACACAGAGTGGTGAAGAGACATCCCCAGCCCTTGGGACAAGAACGAGTCGGGGCGACTGTGGCCTCTGCGGAGTGAAGGGGTAGAGGGGGACCTGGGCTGCTGATAATCCAGAAGGAGTGTATGACGTGGGCTCCTATTGTTAGTATTTTGTGAGGTCCTGTCAGTGAACTCAAATAGCAGCCATCTCACTAAGTATCAAAGTTAAATACTAGTTTTATTGCTGTTTGACATCTGTACTGGTTACTGGATATGCTTTTGATTACTTAAAATAAAAATGAATGTTATGCAATTAATGAAGTTTAATCACATTCTTTCAAACTTACTGGTCTGTGTGGAAAAATTAATAAAAAGTCTGCTATATCTTACAAGTCAGAGTCCTGAGACCTAAGGACACCACAGAAACATTATCCGGGTCTAATAAGAAGAAATAGGATGCATTCTTTAGATGAACCTCTTTGTCCCAAATATATTTTCAGTATTGGAGGAGATGGAGTGTGGCGAGTCATCAGTAGATTAGAAGAAACAAAGTTGGGGTTGGAATCACCTAAGTGCATAGTCATTCCTTCCAGCCCAGTAAGCGCAGAGAACGCAGGGGGGGCAAAAGTAGGTTTACAGCTGTAAGGATGTGACAGTTTATTCTCATATTACTATTACTATTTTCCATGCGAACAACTGTAAATCGACTTTTGCCCCACCCTGTATGTGCTGGAAGTGAAGTTCATTTCTAACACTGAGCCAATCAATCCCAAGTTTCCCCTGTGATTCCCTCGAGAACATCACTGGATGCTTCAGGTGGGGCTCACTGTCTGCTAGGTGTGGCCCAGCTGTTGCCTGGCCTGGCTTTACTGGAGTCCGCCTGTACCGAACAGTACAGGAGAGAACAGAGAGAACAGGACAAGCCCCAGCATACAAAGCTGGTGGCTCGGGCTGATTGTGAGATGCTCGGAGGGGCTGAGTGTGCTGATGAATCTTTAAAATATTCTTGTAACCCATTCAAGTTTTATTTTAAAACATTTGCATTTATCTTTTGAGATTTTCTTTACCAGAAATTTATTGTTTCAAGTTATTGACCCCTCCTCCCAGTTTATTTCTATTCCAGAAAGTTTTTTGACATTGAGAGAGCACTTTTGAGTCACCCCACCCCCCATGTCACATCATGACAACAACTAAAATACTGTCCCTAATGGGCTCACAACCCTTCCTTATTCATTCCCTACCACCTATTTACTCTGCATTAACTTACAGATTAGTCCCACGAGGGCTTCAGCTGGATAATTAGCTCATGGGTGCAGAGGGAGAGTTTGTCAGCTCTGCCCAAGTTGAGACAAGAATTCAGTCCAGGGACCCACGTCACCTGCTCGGCTCCTTACAGAGCAGAGCACGTCTGTCTGGGCAAGGGCCTCCTGATTTCTCAGGTGCGGGCAGTGCTGCATCGCAGGGGTGGCTCTGGCTTGTTATAAACACTGCTGGTTCGTGTGTTGCCTTAGGGCAGCTTCCTTCCTACAGTCTGCCTTTCCCCACTACCAGAAATGCCTCCCCGCCCCGCCAAGCAGTGATTAATCATCACACACTGTCTGTCTGCAATAAATCTTATTTCCATTAGAGTAGCCAATAGAATTGGCTGTACTTGCCAGACTACTTATTCCAAAAGTAAGAGGGTGATCTGAAAATTAGGCACCTGTTCATCAAATACCACTCAGTTCCCAGGTGCGCTTAAGCCATTAAGAACAATTACTTCCAATTTGGAAAGCAGGCTCTGGTTTCCCTAAGGTGAGGCATTTCTGGCCTTTTGCAAAATGTAAAAATGCAGTTTTCATCGAAGCTACTTAAAGACACAATTTCGACCAATGCAGTGGTTCTACTCACTCAGCTTTTTCATGCAGTCGCGGAGTCTGGTCTCCAAGCTGAGCACCCGCTGATGCAGTTCCTCGTAGTCGTAGGCGCCGATCTCCTCCTGGATCCCCGTGAGGACGGCAGACAGGTTGCGGATCTCCTCCTTGAACTGGGTGATGAGCTTGGCGTCTGTTTTGTACTGTTCCAGCACCGGGATCAAGGGCAGGAGCTCATCCATCTTCTCCTTGAGCTCCTGCGAAAAGCGGCCGCACGATCCTGAGCCATTTACCCAGGTCAAGTGGCTCTATTCTCCGCCGTTTGATACTTACAGGAGATGATTAAAACAGATTCAAAATTCCTTACTGCTTTTTGGTTGAAATTAGGTATTTTGTGGACATGTGAGTCGGCGCATGGTCAGGAGTAGTAAATCCACTTATCTTTTCAATGCCAGGACCTCTCCTTAGCTGGTTGCCTGCTCTGCAGGAAACAGACTGGTGCTTACCATACTACCGGAGCTTCCTGTGGTAGCCGTTACGGTTGGTGGCATTTCACAAGGTCAATCATGTATTATTTAGTTAGGAAATAGGAACAGGGTCCATCTTGTAATTAATGGATTCCTAGAACTAGGTTACTATCCTGTACCTGTTCAGGTAAGTCTAACCATTCATTACTGATGACTTATGCTCTAAGGGTACTGCCAGAAGCTGGGCTCCTGGAACAGCTTTGCCTTAGCAGAACTTCCCAGTGATGGCCTTTCCATTAAGCCCAGGTGTCCCTCACTCTCTATTTTTGGTTAATCCTTGCCCGAGGATATTTTTTTCATTGATTTTTAGAGAGAGTGGAAGGGGGGGAGGGAGGGCGGGACAGAGAGAGAGAGACAGAGGGAGAGAGAAACATCAATGTGAGAGAGACACATCGATTGGTTGCCTCCTGCATGCATCTTTTCTGGGGGCCAGGGATTGAACCTACAACCCAGGTATAAGCCCTTAACCAGGAATCGAACCCATAACCCTTCGGTGCCCAGGCTGATGTTCTAACTACTGAGCAACACTGCCAGGGCTTCCCTCACTCCTTTTACTATCCACCTTAGCAGAGCCTCTCTGCGAAGTAGGTTCAGCAGGTATCAGTCATGCGGTGCTTCTCTAAGGGCAAAGAAATGTACGTGGCTGTTTCCCCTTTTGAATGATCACGGCCACTCTGACTTCTGTGCCTTAGCTGTGATCATTTAGAGCTGCTTATGTAAGGCGGGGCTGCTCGCCCCCTTGGTGGAGCTCCCCTTCCAAGGACCGAGATGCTCCTAGTTTACGTAACAAAGAAAGTTGCCCAGTTGCAAAGTTATTTGCAACTGAAATGTTGATTTTTGTCTAGAGAACAAGAAGCGGACGGAGCCACACCTGCAGTTTCACTTCCCTTTTCTAGGTGTGTCACCTTCTCTTCTTGTCCTTTAACGGGTTGGGGAGGCCAGTGGAAGTATCCCCTGGGGTTGATTCCGTGGAGAGCTATTGCAGATGATCTCATTGGTGGAAAGAACTGTCACTTACAATCATCAGAGAAGAATCCATGGGTGGTGTCAGGAAACCATGCTGTACACCAGCTAATTTAAGGAGCTGAAAATTGCATTTTAAAATTACACCAAGAAGATGTTATTACTATAAATGCATTAAAATAGCAGGAGCTCCTATTGCTGCCCTGATTTATGGGCTTATGTTTCTTGAGGGGCAATTTCTACTTGCTCTGTAAGCTCAGAATTCTTTAAATCTGCCTGTATGTCCATGTTGAGTGGGAGGGGGCAGTGTTAATGAGAAAGATTCATAAATATTACAGTCAAAGGCAGAATGGCAGAGCTTTGCTCATTGTGGTGGCTCATTTGAAATAAATGTATCAGGTGGAGTATCTTGGGGCATCCCTAAAGGAAAGCACAATTGCTTCATCGGGATTTTAATGAGAAAAGCTCATTTTGTTGGTACCATTTGCTGCATATTATATATAGCAACTGTCAATGAAGAGTTTTTGGTTCTACTATGGGAATATTGAAAAGAGAACAACACACTATCACCATTTTGGTGGCAGTTTTTTCCTCTGAACTAAAAATAAAAAGTATTTATATTTTTGGATTTTTTTTTTTTTAAATCATAATTTGATAACGGGCAGTCAACTTTGAAACTCTAGTCACGTGTCAGAGAACAGTGGAAAGTGCGACCAGTGTGCGTCTCCACTCTCTGAAGGCTGAAGCAGAAGAGCGCAGGTCCGTGCGCCCCGATCCCTTCTAGAATCGCACTTCCTGCTCTGCTGCTGCTCCAGCGCAGGTTGCTTGTACCTGACTGTCTTGCCCAACCACGACCTCTTCATGTGAGGTTGGTAGTCTCAACTAGAACAACTTTTCATCTTAAAGAGTATAGATAAGAAAACCTACTTAGTGGCTGTTAAAATTATTTTACTTCTTATTGCATTTATTGGGGTGACATTGGTTAATGAAATTATATAGGTTCAGGAATAGAATTCTATAATACATCAACTGTATATTGCATTGTGTTCACCACCCCAAGTCATGTGTTTTATAAACAGTGTCCTGTGTCTTTGCAAGGCAGACTCTTTTTTTTAATAGAGGTTCACAGTTACATTTTATTTTAATCTACGACTCTGTCATACATAGCTAACGGAAGTCCACATAGCATGCTTAAAAGCACCATTTCTCCATTTTTAGTATTTCAGAATAATTGTCAATAAACAACTTAAAGTCTAAGAAAGACTTTATTTTATGTCAAATCATAAAGCAGCCCTCTTTCTGTGGCTATTAATAATGGTATGATTACCTCTCTTAACAGTGTGTAGTCTCGATATTTCTCATACTAGCAGGGCATAAAGTCATCAGAAAGAAAAATTTTGACACATTTAATGATTAATTTTTCTTTAGAGTTCCCCTTGTCATTGATATTGAAGTGCCTGTAAATCTACCCAGAAACTTCACCTAGCTCTAGGAGGATAAGACTCCCTTTATAGCTAGTCTTCTGTGCATTCCTACCAGCTAAGGGCCAGTTTCAGTGGGGAATGACTGACACCCCAGTGAGCCTTGAACCTGGCACACGAGGGCCGATGCACTTATTTCTCACTGAGTGCCACACTGGCTGCTCATTGCACTAAGGGTGTCATTTGGATCCACAGGGTTGCAGAAATTAAACCTACTTGAAAATGCTTGGTCATTAGTGTCTTCCGATCATCTTCAATCTGCCGAAACTTGGCCTTCAACCCTTTCATCTGGGTTTCCATTTTTAGAACATATTGGAAATCTCTCTGAGTTCTCAAGTTTAAGACTTCAATAGACTGGGACATATTCTGAACCTGTTAAAGAAGAACATTGGTTTTAAATTATTGTCGATTTACAGGTGTATACAATCACTACTGAAATAGCAAAAATGACATTAATGCAGAGAACTTGAAGTACCAAGTCCATAATTGTGTTTGCACATGACATAAGAACAATTTTTCATGATAAACATTCAAAGAATTCAGCAAGAGAAAATTATACCTAGGCAGAAAATAATAAAATGGACATCCTAGCATTAGAAATGGCTGAATACAAATAAGAATGTAATATAAATTTTAAAAAATGAAAATTTATTCCGGGGCTTTGTCAGCTTATCAATGTCCCAATTTGTTAAATGTTGAAATAAGTTGTTTCTATAAGTAGTAGCTCTGACTTCCCGATCTGAGATGCTCAGCCACTGCGGGTGGTCCGACGTGCCTCATGGACCAAGAACACACTCACTGCAGTACAGTTACTTCGGGCTGTACTGGACAGGCTCCCAGAGGTGACACCAAACTGACCCAGACACGTGATGGTAGCAACACCTCCCCGCTCAGAGCCCACTGTTGCCGACCTGGAAAACGGCAGCTGATGCGACCGTAACAGGTTCACTGAGCTCCAGGCTATTTAGAAGCAGGTGATAGATGACTGGTAAAACATGTAGAGAAGAGGAAAGGCTGTTCTAATTGTTGTGGCAGGAAAATTCTGAAAACAGAATGAAGGCCTCTGGTCGGAGCAATGTCAAGGAACTGAGGAGTGGAATGTGAACATGCTGTCAGAGGACAAGATGGGTCTCCGTGCTTTTGCTGCTCAAAGCACTGTCTACAGAGCAGCCAGAGCAGCCTCCTGGGAGCTGGTTTAAAATGTGGAGTCTCGCCCTGGCTCGTTGTGCAGTGGTTAGAGCGCTGGCCCACGCACCAGAGAGTCCTCGGTTTGGTTCCCACTAAGGGCACGTACTCAGTTGCAGTTTGTCCCTGGTCCTGATTAGGGTCATGTGGGTGGCAGCCAGTCGATATGTCTCTCTCATGTCGATGTTTCTCTCTCTCTCTTCCTCCCTCTCTCCCTCCTGCTCTATCTGAAGATGAATGCAAAAATGTCCTTGGGTGAGGATAAAAATAAATAAAATAAAATGCAGAATCTTGTCTAAAAATCAGAATCTGCATTTTTTTTAAGATTCCCAAGTGATCCTTTGTGTATTAAATTTTGAGAAGCAATGCTTAACATGGAGGGATTTCTGTGAGAAAAGCAAATGTAAAAAATTGATATAATTAGACTTTTACATTCTAAATTAAATTATCTCTCTCCTGCACACAGTGGCACACGCGTATGTAAACGAAATGGAGTAGTATCTCTGCAGAAACCCCGAGGAAGGGGTGGAAGATTCAGAAAAACCTTTTCTGGTGGGCGGTGAGGTGCCGCAAGAAGCAATGAACATGGCAGAAAGAGGTCCTGGTGAACTAAACGTGTATAAAGCCATCTGAAGAGAACAAAAACATGAGATCATGGACACCAAAAAAATGGTGGTGATATTTCACATACTTTTATGTTATTCTGTTTGTTTGTTTATTGTTTATAATATGTTTTTATTGATTTTTTTTTTTTTTTTAGATAGAGAGGAAGGGAGAGAGACATCGACATGAGAGAGAAGTATCGATCAGCTGCCTCCTGCACACCCCACTGGGGATCGAGCCCACAACCCAGGCATGTGCCTTGACCAGGAATTGAACCAGGACCTCTCAGTCCATGGAACGATGCTTAACGACTGAGCCACACCGGCTGGGCTGTTCTGTTTATTTTTTAACAAACATGTATTTTATGTAATGTGTAAAAAATTATTTTCATTGCAAAAATTGTGAGTTACACATAAGGAAGAGATGATTTGTTCAGAGACAAACTCTCGTCATCAGGTGAGGTCATAGGCTGTGTAAAGAGCTCCTTGCTGCTGCACCCCTTGGATTGGGACGTCCAGAGAAGGCAGTGGCTTCTCCGGCCGTGGCCTGCTCCACTTCCTCCACCGTTCTTGTCGGAGGCCAATTTTCCTCTTTCTACTTCTGCTGTCTTGATCCATAACTGTGCTATTTATAAATCCTTCCTTGTAGGACATATTAGTTACTGTTTAGCTTATATCACAACTAATTGTGTGTGTGGGGTGGGCACCGAGAAGTGACTGCCCTCCTTTGAGCTGTATTTAGAAGCTGTGTCTTCCTCCCAACTTTTATTTCCAGGGCCTTGTACAAAACTGGGCACAGAATAATTGCTCAATAAATATCTATTGGGTGAAATTATCTTAGGCTTCTAATGGTAGTAAATGTGTAATTAGTATTTTAATATTTGAAGGAAAGTTTCCTCCTTCTTTCATTGGCTAGGTTACCGCATTACACAACGCCCAAATATTTCTTAATTTACTATCATTTCCACATTCAGAAAGCTGCATTAAAAAGCATCTTTAGTGCAGTGCAAAATTACTGAGGCAACGTTGAAAGCATGGTAACTGCATCTTGGATAAATTTAATTCTTTCGAAATACTTTTCAGCTTCATTACAATTAAGCACGAACAAAGAAAAGCCAATTATATTAAAGAAACTTCACATTTGAATACAACATCTGTCTGTGAAGACAGCCATCCTGGCACGGCGGATCCTCTCCTAGGGATTTATGTACCAAGGCAGAAGCTGCACAGTTAGAAAGTGATAGGCGAGTGCGATATTCCAAATAAAGTGAAAGCAGCCTCCCTCTTGTCTTGCCTCTGGCTTACCCTAGCGAGTTCATCGGCAACTTTATTTGTGTCGTGGGAAAACGCACTGAGAGAATTTCTGCTGAGCCCTGGTTCCGACTCTCTGTCTTGCAGAATCGTGGATCAGAGCTACATCGGGGTAATGGCTAGAGCTAGCGCTAGAGCTGTCTAACTGGACAGGATTTGGCTCTGAACTGCTTGCTTTTCCTCTGACTGTGCCCAGGACTATTTAGTGCTCCACTGGCGACGGGGACCCACGGAGTGTTTCCTGATGACACCGCAGACTGATCCCTGTGGGTCCAGGCGCAGGAAGAAGAGGGGTCTGCTGCGTTTCCCTTTCAGCCTGCTTGTCCCTGGTGTCCTGCCTTCAGCATCCCACTCGTGTCCCTGGGCTCACAGCCCTTCTGCGTGGATTGGCCAGCTCGCTGTCCCACGTCAGTGATCATATTTTTGAATTCTCTGTCCTGGTTCTTTGTATAAATAAAATGTCCATGGGCTTTCAAACTTCAGTGCAAATTAACTTAGATTTCAGTCTCATTCGTAATTAGTGTGGCAGCCACTTGGGAAGACAATGTCCAGTGTTTCGTATGTTTAGCTAGCGTGGGGCTGAGACAAATAAACAGAGGTTTCTTCACGGTCGGGCAGAACCTCTGGTATGAAGTGTGCGGCAGAAAGCTTCACGCACAGCGTGTCCTACAGCTCTTTCGCCCGGGAGGAGGTCGCTGGCACCCCGTCCCAGAATCGCGCTTTAGGGGTGACTGACCGGGACAGCACAGGGCACGTGTAATTCTACAGGGACGCTGCATAGCTAACAAACCCCATTAGGTGAACGATTTCAGTTTGGGCACACGAAGACCAGAAACATTGTGAAACCAATGGTAACTTTTCTAGCATTCGGTGATATAACACTATTCAAATTGCTGGGCAGAGCATAGTTTCATTAGGTGTGGGTACCACCAGGGGCATTCCGGGTGCTGCTCGCATGGTGTCGAGAAAATGCAAAACTGCCGTGCTATATCTCCACCATCTACTGGTGAGCCACACCGGAAGGTGGTTTAAGCTCAAAAAGCACCAGTTTCCTCTTATGTAAACTTAGAAAGACAACTACTTCAGCTATGAGGGTTGAAGGGAGTGGATACAAATATACTAGATGGAAGCTATTGTTATTAATACTATTCCTATTAACAGTATTCTTTATATATATATTTTTTTCTTTATTGATTTTAGAGAGAGAGGAAGGGATGGGGAAAGATAGATAGAAACATCGATGAGAGAGAACATCGATCGGCTGCCTCCTGCACGCCCCCACTGGGGATCGGGCCCACAACCTGGGCACGTGCCCTGACTGGGAATCGAACCGGCGACCTCTTGGTGCAGGGTCGACGCTCAACCACTGAGCCACACTGGCTGTGCTGTATTCTCGTACTATATGACTAATGCTTAGGTCAGCGGTGGGTGCAAAGGTCACGCTGCCATCTGCCATCTGGTACCTTGGGTCCAGGGAAAGCGGCAGAGAAGCCAGCATGGAAGGGACTGACTCCGTCTGCATGAGGAGGCCGGGTCAGGTGCCTCTTCTCCGGGCTCCACGGAGCGTGGGTGCCGTTTCCCCCCGTGCCCCACGGTGCACACAGTGCACACTCCTCTGCTGGCCCAACGTCACCAAGTGGCAACTTTTGATAAATCTAACTTGTGGTGACTTTGATTTTGTTAATTTCTTTTTTTTTGTCATTTAGGTATTGATATGTTTTTAAAGGTGTGATTTTCCCGAATTTCTTTAAAACGTTAAACAAACTGCGTATCGGATGGGGTGGTCCTGTAAGTTCCATGGTCGTTTTCAAGCCCTGCTCAGTTGTGCTTTTTTTTTTGCCTCAATTATCACCCACTGAGTCCTGCCTTTATCACAGCTCCGGAATAATTTCACTTTGATCCTGAGAGGCATCTGCTTCCTGGCCTTCAGACTTTATTTGAATTTTTTCAACTGATTTTGAAGACATGTCTGAATCTGCGTGGGTGTGACTATGCAATGCAGTACTGAAAAATAGTAACACAAATGAGGTTATGGTGTCTAAGGAGATGTTTCTCACCACACTTAACGGAGGGGGAAATTGCATAGAAAAGAAGATTGGAGCAGAAAATCAGTAATGCATTTTAATAGAAAAGCAAAATCGGGTTAAAAGAGTACGTCTTTTTACCAATATAATTCATTTCCCTAGTAACCAAACAGTATCAAACTGTATATTTGAGATTTTTCATAGAAATAAAAAAAATCAAGATTGAAGAGAGTACCCAAGACTAATCGTAGTTCATATGTCATGAGTTCCAGCAGTCGAGAGGCACATTAACTAGAGTCACTACTTCGAAAGAAATAGCATTTGCTCGGGTCTGTAGGACAGATTTTGGAGAAGCAGGGAAGATGGGATCTTATAAAAAAAGATTTAAGAAAGAACCGGTATATGATGATAGCTCTGAGGAGAGGGGGAGGAAAAACAGACTAGTGTTTGTACAAAAGCATGAGAGAAAAAAGTCCTCCTAGTATCTAGGGCATCGGCCGACGACCGAGCGGTGTAGGCAGAGGAAACTCCTTCTCCCAGGGCAGGGGGAGAAGGACTGTGGCTGGGCTTGGAACTGCGTAAACGGGAAGGTCTGCAAATCCATAAATCCAGGGCTTTCGTTGTTTTAGCTTCTGTTAATGTCCTGTCACATTCCCGTTCAATGTCGTAAAGGTGAGGATGGCATGCGCAGGATGCGGTGCGGAGCGGGTTGTGGCGTGTGACGTGCTCTAAAGGCTCATACTGCCTGATGCATCACCCTGATGCTATTTAAGTCTAACCTGCTGTCCCCCTGGTCAGCCTGGCTACTCCGGAGGCCCTACTGCCTTCAGAGCCCAACACGGGGAAGATCCGAATGAGAATAATTGAGAGAACTACTCCTTGTTTTTTGTTTTGTTTTGTTTTTTGTTCTCCCCACACTAAATGTAAACAACCTTTCATGAGCTGACTTTTAGCTGTAAAAGAGAAGAAATCAAGGGCATTCTGCATTTGATTGTTAGGGACCCGGCTTAAGTAAATTATGTGGAGAGAATGCTATTGAATGAAATTGAAGGGCTTAATGCTCAAAGGCATGACTTGGAGAATGATGATAAATACTCAGAATTGCTCATTATCTGCCCGGAGAGATGCATAGTGCATGCAGTTATTGTCACTTCCTCGAAGGGTTCATAACGGGATCCGAAAGCGCAGCTCGAAGGCCTGGTGTGATTCCGAGAGCTGGAATCAGACTTCCTACTTTTTTCTTTTTTCTTAAGGAAACACCAACTGGATAGGAAAGTATATGATAGAAAGCCAGTCATAAGAAGACAAGGTTGGAAAAAGTAAAAAGTCACATAAATAGAATAGAGCAGGAAGAGTGAGGTGCTCCTTTCAAAGAAGGGGAGAATGTTTATTTTAGAAGGGACAAAACTTAGGGGGGACCCTGATCCCCATTCCCTGTATTCCCCCATTTCCTTTGCAGAGAACGGTAATTTCAATACGAATACGCACAGGGGAGCCTGGGCGCCTACCTTTTCCAGCAGTTGGCGCAGCTGCCGGCTCTTGGCGTCGCGGGAGCACAGGTTCTGTTCTGGAGCAACCACCGTGCAGATGCACCGGCCGTCAGGGTCCTGCGCCGAGCTGTACACCTGCCATCCCTCCTTGGGACTGATCTGCGTCTGAGGGAGCACACAGCACACAGACCCGTTACAGGAGAGAGCGAAGGCGGCTTGGTACATTTTAAGCAAAGCATGTTTTGTATAATTAAAGTTTGTGTTTTTATTTTTTAAAGTTAAAAAGAAAGTGAGTAAGCAATTTACATGGATGGCACAGCTGCATTCAGTTCTACCTTCCTTGTCCGAGCTCAGGAGAATCGCTCTCTTCCTCTCGGCTCCATATATCAGCCGTTCATCGATCCTACGCCACTCCCTAATGCTTTTTGGACATATTAATGCAACTTTAGAAGCATCTGATAACCACTTAGACACATATGACCAGTCTTCCTCCATAAGATCTGATAGCTTGTCTTTCTCAACTGTAAATAGTAATTAGTAATATTTTTTCCTGATTATTGTTCACGTGTCATATTCTGAAGCAAAGCTTTATCCCAAGGAGCTGCCCTTGTGTTAAGGTTCAACCACTAACAAGCAGGAAAGGTGGCATGAGAACATGGGGTAGAAATCGTGAGGTCCACATTGTTCTGCAGGAGACGCAGTCCCAGGGGAGTTACTCAGGTGGAGTCAGGTGACTGCACAGAAAGTGGGGTTCAGCTTGCCTGCTCTTATGCTCTGCCTCCTAGTATGTTGCTAGTTTTGTCTCCTGTATCTTCCTACAGGAAACTCCCCTCCAACTAGATGGGTCTGTGTCTGAAAGCATGCGGCCTGGTTTCTGTCTTTGCACGTTGCTCACATTGCTTCTGCGGCTCGGGGTACGTCCTTCCAGAGCTCCGGAGCCTCAGCCCTGTGGCCCCCCCTTCTGCGGCTCGGGGTACGTCCTTCCAGAGCTCCGGAGCCTCAGCCCTGTGGCCCCCCTTCTGCGGTTCGGGGTACGTCCTTCCAGAGCTCCGGAGCCTCAGCCCTGTGGCCCCCCCTTCTGCGGCTCGGGGTACCTCCTTCCAGAGCTCCGGAGCCTCAGCCCTGTGGCCCCCCTTCTGCGGCTCGGGGTACCTCCTTCCAGAGCTCCGGAGCCTCAGCCCTGTGGCCCCCCTTCTGCGGCTCGGGGTACCTCCTTCCAGAGCTCCGGAGCCTCAGCCCTGTGGCCCCCCTTCTGCGGCTCGGGGTACCTCCTTCCAGAGCTCCGGAGCCTCAGCCCTGTGGCCCCCCCTTCTGCAGCTCGGGGTACCTCCTTCCAGAGCTCCAGAGCCTCAGCCCTGTGGCCCCCCCTTCTGCGGCTCGGGGTACCTCCTTCCAGAGCTCCGGAGCCTCAGCCCTGTGGCCCCCCCTTCTGAAAGATGGTCGGGACTATTCATTAGGCGTTTACTGTGCATTGTCTAGTGTTGTTATTTGTCTTTCATATGTCTTCTTTCAACTATTGGTTTACATCCAGCCACAAGATATATTGGATATTTCCTGTCTGCCCGATCCCATACATTCTATCAAGAGCAAAGATAAGTCGCCTCATTTTTTATCTAGGGACTTCAGAGAGAACTGTGGCTTGAGCACGCACTCTCCATTGTACAAACAGAGTTGCTGTGGATGCCAGGGGGCGCCGCTCATCCACCCCTCCGGCCCCGGTCTCGGCAGCCCGCTCTGCCCTGCGGTCTCTTTGGGGATTGCCTGAGCTGACGAATGCTGCCCGCTGGGGTCAGGTCCTATTGGACAGAACACCTCACACCCACTGACTTGCTGGTGCAGGGTAGAAGGAAGCAGGTTATTATTCCCGTCTCACAGAGGAGAGCACAGTTCGCCTGCCTGAGACACACGGCGTGTCAGTAGCAGGGCTGTGTGCAGCTGGCCCGGGTGCCCAGGGCAGGCTCCCAGAAGAAACATGCAAGCCACTTGTGTCACTTACAGTTTCCTAGTGGTTGCGTTTAAAAAAGGGAAAAGAAACAAGTAAAATTAATTATAGTAATAATACATGTTATTTAGCTCAATATATGCAATGTATTTTCAGTTCAACATGTGATCAGTGTAAAAATTATTCATGTGATACTTTGCCATCTGGGTTTTCCCTTGTCTGGTGCTAAGTCTTTGGAGCTGAGTGTGCATTTCCACGCAGGGCTCGCATCCACTCGGACCGGCCACGTCCCGAGTGCCGAGGAGCCACACGTGTGCCCTTGGACAGGCCAGCTCGGGAGCCCGCTCTGAGCTCCAGGCTGCGGCCATACCAACATGGTGCTGAGCATCGCGGCGACTGTCTAACGGATGGACGTTCAGTGGACAAACCATCCCACTTGCATCTGGATGTGTTTTTCCTTTGGAAACAGATAAATCAGTGGGCCACCTTCTAGTGAGCTCTGGCTGACAACTACACTTGGGACCTGCTATGCTTCGGCTTTCTTTTATGGTTTCCAGGGGTTCAGCAGATAGGGAGGTGTCTTTCATGGTCAGGAGAAGAGGAAGATGAGTTTATTCTGGAAAAGAAGCTGGGCTGGAGGGCAGGCGGAGGAAGCGGAGAGGGGGCTGGGAGCAGGAGGTGAGTGGAGGCCAGCACAGCGCTGTCTTGCAAGATACCCAATGTTACTGGGCCGCTCAGTTTGCAGTGGCCCCAATTGTCTTCCTTGAAAAGAGCCACGACCTTCTCTACTACAGAGCTAGTTTGAATGATCTCAACCACAACATGTTACTCCCTGGCAGTGAAAAGGTAACTCGAGAGAGAAAAAAGCTGAAGCAATAGCCGCTAGGGGTAGTGCCAGGCACTGAGCACATATTAGGAAGCTATAAATGATCACCTCAAGTGACTCATAAAAATGTCACAGCCCTTGCCACTCATCTATCACAATGGTGGGAAGCAAGCTCTTGAAAGGACCAAACCAGACTGACTTCTGTCTACAGATGTGCCTCGGTCTGGGGTCTCCCGTCTGCAGTTCGTAGCTGGATAGCTAGACTCTCCCACTTCTCCTGTCCTGGGCCCCAGCTCATCACCTGCCGTCAACCAACTCAGGTCTTTTTTTTTTTTCCAAGGGTTTTAGCAATAGTCACTAGGGGTAGTGACAGGCATTGAGCACATACTGAGGAAGCTATAAACGATCAACTCAAGTAACTCATTAAAACGTCACCGCCCTTGTCACTCATCTATCACAAAAAGCAAATGATGCCAAACCCATCTTTTTAGGCTCCTTTTACCAACTCTTTTTTGGATGGTTCATAGAAGGCTTCTATGCCTCTCCTATTTCTGGGGCATTGGATTCATTATCTGTTCTATCTTTTTCATCCTCTTTTCTCCTACAGTTTGTACTGAATATCCAGTTGGGATGGAAAGATGTATTCAGAATTTTATGTTACTAGAGTCAGGTAGGATCTAATGATTATTCTTTTTGTATTAAGGAAGAAAACAATGCAAAGAGATTACCTGCAGAATGGAGATGGAAACAGCGTAGCAGAGCTGTTTCAGTGATATGATTCGAGGATTAGTAACAGAATGGGATTAATATATCTAGAATTAGGTTCTGGAGAAGCAGCTAGGCTTCTAACACGGTACACAAATCTAAAAAATGTCAGAACATTAAGGCTTGTCACTAGATTAGCTTTTGGGTGCGGAAGCCAGGGCTAACCCATTGTAATATGAAAACACCTGTAACGGCAGTGTAAACAGCGATCGTGACACCTGGCAGCGTTAATGCTGATGCTCACCTGCCCAGTGTTCGGCTAACCGGGGAGGGGCTTGTGGTGACGGCAAGGTGTCAGCTGCTGTCTGGAATGAGAACCGCGGGAAGGTGACTAGGGTTTGATGCTCTTTAGCTTTTCCCCCTGAAATGTCAGCTTCTTCAAAGTAAAGGCTTGAGCCCTGTTTGTACCTCCAGTTGTCTTCCTGTAAGAATCACTGAACAGAGCCATGGCCTTCTCTGCTGCAGCGTTAGTGTGAATGCTCTCAGCAGCAACAAGTTACCACCCCGGCAGCACAAAGGGAACTCCAGAGAGAAACAGCGCATGTGAGGGGGCGGCCGGCAGTGCAGTGGGCTTGGACGTAAGTCTGTTTCACGGTTAGTGATGGACCAAGGGCAGTGCAGTGGGCTTGGACGTAGGTCTGCTTCACGGTTAGTGATGGACCAAGGGCAGTGCAGTGGGCTTGGACGTAGGTCTGTTTCACGGTTAGTGATGGACCAAGGAGGTTTTTAGAGTGTCTCTAAGTGTTCTCTTTTAGGGTCCGCACACTGGCATTAAAACCATCTAAGACGTGGATACCAATGAGAAAAGATTTGCTTCCATTTGAACTTGTAAGAGCAATTATTCAGGTATCGATAAAACTCATGCAATTGAACCCGGCCGGTGTGGCTCAGTGGTTGAGCACTGACCCATGCACCAAAATGTCACCGGTTCAATTCCCGGTTGTGAAATGCCCAGGTTGTGGGCCCAATCCCCAGTGGGGGGCGTGCAGGAGGCGGCCGATCAATATTCTCACTCATCAGTGTTTCTCTCTCTCTCCTCCCCCTCCCTTTCTCTCTCTCTAAAATCAACAATGGAAAATAAATGAAAAAACAAAAAACTCATGCAATTGTGATAGCAAACATTTATAGAGCTCTGTCCCTTGCTTGGCAGTGTTACTGCCTGTCGATATCACAGTGACCCTGTGGACTAGGGGATGTTTTTCTGCCCATTTCATAGATGAGGAAACTGAAACTGAGACAGGAAGGAACTTGCTCCAAGGTCATGAGGGGTAATCAGCAGAGCTGGGGTGGGTGTTTGCACAGTCTGACTCCGGAGCCTGACTGTTTAACAGGCACGAGGCACCAGCAGTCACCTGAGCCTCTCTCCTGCCGTGGCGTTAACCCTGCTAGCATGTTCTGAACACTGGTGGAGCCCTGCACTCGGACCTGGAGGGTGTGTGCAGTTCATTACCGTGGAAAACACTGCTAATCACAGTGATTACTGATGCAGCCTCTTTGAACCCTTTGTGTTAATTAGAACTAAATGAACTATTTAGCAGTTTTTAATATTACAAAACTCATGAAATATTTAAGAGTGCTCTAAACAGGAGAAGGAAATGATTAATTTTAACAATTGGGTTTCAAGTATGTATT